CGTCTCTTTGGCCCCGACCAAGGCGAGAGGCGTTTAGCTACCGCGGCCAGACGTGTGATGGTGTTTTCTACGGGTTATTATCGCATAATTCTATTATTACTATCAGGTTCAAGAGCGCCTATACGCGTCCAGTGCGTTCTATCATTAGATCGGCCGGGAGTTCACTCACCAGCTGAACATCGATGCTCTCCGCTAGCAGCAACGAGATCAAGTTCAATATCTACGCGCGTGAATCATTATACGGGGTGTATACCGTAACATCTGGCACGTACGAAGAATGCCAATATTCTCAGGCTCAGTTGATCAATTACAATCACAACTATTGCTAAATATTTCTATTCTCATATTTAAGAATCTCTTATTCACGAGATACGCGGTTAATTAGCTGCACTGATGAGTATATGAAACTGTACAAAGTTTTCCAACGTGGAATATGTAAACAGCAGATTGTTGATAACCGTATAAAACTCGATGTGCAATTGAAACGATCGCTAAACTGCGAGTTTTATTCACGTTTATTCTATGCAAATACGTGGGGCATGTTAAAATTAGAAAAACAATGAAGTTTTATTGTGTAGCAGTGTCTGATAGAATCTTTCGTAAAGTAGGTAACAGATACACTAATTTCTAGTGGTTAATAATGCCTTCTGATTTCTAATAAAACTCGACGAAAGCTATAAACTCCTCTTCACGTCCCTTCTCCACAAACTAACAACAAAAACCCATTAAACTTTCACGAACGCCGCCACTCGTATCAAACATTCACATTGTAAACGTCCATTTTATAGTATCCTTGATCGAAAGGGTAAACCAGCGAAGGTAGTTCTCGTGGTCGTCTCGTTGGATACAGGGGTTGAAAGAATAACCTCACAGGAACGTGAGGCTGGTCGCCAGGTCGCAAACTAGGATCGTCACTGGGCGCATTCCTCGCAGGATCATAAAGTTGTTGTTGACCAGTGGGTCCAAGAGTAAAAAACGAAGTATGAGGACTGCCGCACACTTTAACAACGTCGCAGACGAACGGCGCCAGGTAAACGTCAGCCTTTTGACTGTTTTATATGTAGCTCAACTGAGGATACATCCACCTACCGTTAAATCACTTGATGGCTGGACTGAGAACTGCAGATCTAACTAGTCAGCTTTCATTCTTCCTCTTCTTCGATACTAATTTGCTATCAATTAGTAGAGTCACACGGAAGCAATAAAAATCATGATTTAAACCTAGAAGATCCCTGTTGCCCATGTGTCTGCTTGCCACATACCAAGTCATTATCCGAAAATGTTAGAGGATCACTTGATAGCTAGGCTGAAAACTGTAAGTTTAATAGGTCAATTTTCATCTTTCCTCGGCTCTTCTTCAATACTAATTAGTTATCAATCAATACAGTCACGCGGAAACAATGAAAACTATCTAAACCTAAAAGACCCCTGTTTCCTATGTGTCTTCTTGTCACACACCAAACCATCACTCAACAATATTAGGGGATCACTTGATGGCTAGGTTGAGAAATACGAGTTTGCTCGTCATCTTATTTCTTATACTAATTTTCTACTATGAACTTGAAACAAAAACTGTAAACAAGATACCGAGCCAAAGGCCTCACTTGCCTCTGCACCCTTCCACTAGACACCGAATTATCTTCCAACAGTACCCGCATTAGCATATCACCAGCCTGCACCCACGGTGGATACACGTTCCCATTCGAACTAATAAGAAAGTCAGAAGGCTGACGCTGGAGTTATTCGGCTGCAGCATTGTTAAGTGTGCAAAGACCCTAAACGTCAGTGATCGTCGTGGACAGGCGGTCAGCGGCGGGCTCGCGTCCGTCCGACCGGGTGTGCATTATTTAAGGGTGACTCGTCTCTGTCGGCGTTGTTTGTCGCTCGTAAATCCGGCGTCTCGTGGCCAGCCAGTCAGCTAGCGAGCCAGCCACCCCCTGGGAATCGAACTTATTTTCCCCGTGTCATCCGGGCAGCTCGTTTTTCCCTTGGCCCCGTGGCTGTTGCCCGATGGCCCCTCGCCGCGGAAAGTTTCCTTTGGCGCCGCAGCGACCGGCTTTGAAGTCCTCCACGCGCCGGCAATAAATTTTCCCACCGCGCGGAACGAAGGCAGCCGCGGCTTTTTAATCAGACTTCCCTCGGAACGGAAAGACCTGTCCCAGTTACTGCCTTCAGCCAGCTGGAAATACGCGAGCACGGTGTCTCACGAGCGCGGCCAGCCAGCCAGCCAGCCAGCCAGCCAGCCCGCGACGAGATTATTGCGAAACGGAGAATGGGAAAATCTCCTCTGATGCCCTCCGCGGCTCCGGAAGACTTTTGTCGCGCGGAAAATACGTTTCGACTTCGACGCGGCGCTGGCCCGCCTTTCGCGTCGCCGGTGAAAGGAAATTTTTCAATGGGGATTTATTACTCGGGGATTTTGGGGGTTGAAATGTGATTCCTCGAAATGACGCTCTGCTGCGTCTCTAATAAGGAATATTTTCCGCGATGGATATTCTTCTTCGCGATATTTTGTTTCGGCATCCGGTTTTCAGCAAATATTGGGTTTAAGGGTTGATAGCTTTGTCTCAGCTTGTGAAGGTGGCTTTATTATTCTATAAGGGTTGAAGCGTGACTCTCAAGAACGCTGTCGGTATATTTGTAATGAGAAATATTTTATATTTTTATAAATAGATATTTTTCTTGATACATTACTTTATCAGACAATTATAAAGAAAAGTTCGTTTGCCTTTTATCGAAATAATGGGATAAAATTATTTTGTGAATGTCCTTTTAATTGAATGTTTAAACAAGAATTTATTACTGCGGAGACTTTGGTAGTTGAAACGTGATTCTTTTAACTGCAGTACTGCAGTTCTAATAAAAGATATTTGAATCTGAAATTATTCATGAAACATTTTATCAAAGAATAAGTTATTCAAGAATCTGTCGCTGAGGAATACATAGTAATGCCTTCTTGCAACGTGCAGTGACTTTCGTTTTAAAATGTAGTGAAATTTTATCAAGAGAAACGTTTTCTAGGTATAATACAATGTATAAGGTGAATCAATTAGTATTCGTTCCACAAATACGTGAGGGGAATTGCCGGAAGTAGGCAACGACCTGTAAGAAAACCTGCGCTCGTTGATGTCTTCGGTCGTTGACTGATATTCTAGCTCATGAATTACATATCTCCTAAGTAAAAGCTTACTTTCGCGCATTTATTTTATTTAATCAGAACACTGTTCCTGAAATCAATATTTTATTAACAGTGCGATTAGATATTCTCTTTTTTATCGAACATACATTTTACTGCGATAGTCGTTAATGACCGTTTCTAAATTACTTTCATTAGGGATTTCCAACTGATGGACATTTAATGAAATAAAATTTCTGCTTTAATGCATTGTGTGCCACTTTGTTCATATATGAATGAAACTAATGTTTCCTGCGGAGTCACGTCATTCATATACGTACGATAGATAAATTCTGGTTGAAAATATATGTATAATTAATAGTATAATTATTCGTATTTTCTCTGTCATTTACGATGTGTGATGACGAAAATTTGCTAATACTAGAACAAACATTTTATAATGAATTTATACCATTTTAACCTTCATTTAAAATAACTTATTTCGAAAGGGAATTCTGCCTTAGTTGAGAATCTTTTATAAAATTGTCTTGGCATGCAATATATTGAACATACAATTAATCAACTATATCTTTTAAATAGGGTATTTTCAAATAATCCTCAAATAATCGGTATAATGTACAAACTTAACGTAGAGATATATAACACAACTTACATTGCTGCGATAATTTGTCCCCCAATTTACGCAAATTATTCATTGATAAAGTTCCCTTACGCACATAAAGATCTCATAAATGAAATTAATCCTTCATTAATCATTTTATTCTGCAAGTTTCACAATTTCTTCGTTCCTAACATAAAAACAGATTTTCCTCGGTGGAAACGCTGCGTAAATGGAGGTGTTATATATGACACACGAAAAGTATTGCATAATAGGGGAACGAGTGCGTTAAGCATTTTTCACGTAATATTTACCCCGGCTTCCTCTGATTCTTACTCCTCCCAGCTAATTATCTCGCCGTAACCGACGAGAATTATTACACCAGTTTCACTTTCCTTTTCAAGAAGCTACTTATCGCCAGCTTACGCCGCCTATACGCGTAACGATATTCAAAAAGATGGTTTACTAGAAACGACAAACAGAAAAATCTTGTTGATTAAGGCCTAGATAAGATAACGAAGTTGTTTCTACAGATCCTGCAATAAAAGCGCACGTACGTCGCTTGTTATCGCCTGGACAGCCGGTATGCGACGAGACGGACTCCTCGAAGATCTCACACGAGGCGACAACCCTTGCGAACAATCCCCGGTCCATATCGTCGGGCAATAGCGAGGACTCGGATTCAAGGAAAACGAGAACGCCGGAACTTCCGGGGGGATCGCCTCAGGAACCGACCGGCGCGTCGCAGTACACGACCAGAAGCAACGGTTCGTACAGCGATGCATCCGGTTCCTCCGAGCTGGAGGCGCTGCTACCGCCGGTCGACAGTTTCAAGGAGGAGGAACGGGCCCAATGGGAGCCTCTGTCCGGCGAGAAGTTCACCAGACAGAAGAACACGCCTAGGTACGTTCGCCATTTCTCAATATCGTCGAACGAGAATGACGCTAGAACGAAGTTCCGTCTTGGCTTTCTCCTTCGGGTGTAGTCGAGTGAAATCGATTTTCCCGGGTCGAGAAGTTTCCAAGTGTACGCTCCCAGCGAGGTCTAAAATTTCAGGTCTCGAACAGCGAGAATGTAAAAAGAAAAAACGGTCTCGGGGAATTTGATCTAAAATTCGAGTATTTAAGGAAAACGGCGTTAAGGAGACGCGCTACATTCGAAAGAAAAAATAAGAGTAAACGAGTATTATGGCGCAGGTTCGAAGCCTACATGATGACCGGTGACCTGATGCTGAATCTGTCGCGCACCCAGCAAAGCAGCGGTCTTCTCCCGAAGCACCAGAAGAAGGTCGACTCGCTGAGGTACAACAATCATCACACCCACCATCACCATAATCACCACAATCACCATCATCATAACTCGGTACCTACCAGTCCTAACGAGATGCTGGGCCATCACCGTGCTTACAAGTGCACCGGTTCGAACTCGGCCAGCACCTCTCCGGTCGGGATCAGCAAACGCGAGAGCGGCCAGTGCCCGGGCCAGAGCGATACTAGCAAGCCGAACGCCGCGAGTTTCGGTTACTCGAGCGGTTTCGTGCGTACCTCGCGCTCCGAGGACCACTTGCAATTCCAAAAGGATCCGGCGATGAGCGCGGTGGACATTGACATTGACGACGACGTCACGTCCAGCTTGAACACCCTGTTGGACACGCGGCCGGACAGCGGCCAGGGCTTGTCCAGCGAGCGGATCGTCTGGACGTACAACGCGCCGGTCAGCTCACCGTCCGCCTCGGAGCGCACCTCTTGCTGCCAAAATGGCAGCTCGTCCCAATCCTCGTCGAGTAGCTCCTCGACGGAGGGCACTAGCCCTCAGAGATCCTTATCGCCGGCCTCCCCTACCTCAGTCTCGTCCTCCGTCATGTCCTCCAATTCTGGATCCCGTAGGTTCCCACCGCCGGTACCCACGGGCACCAGCGCCACAGCCCTGGGCCCCTCCGGCGACGGGACCACCTCCTCGGCCTCCGGCCTCCACCCCACCAACGGTGACCTCAGCCAGTCCGAGGCCATCAGCAACATGTCCAGTCCCGACTACAACGACGAGGAGACTATGGACATACTCAGTGCTCGCGATATGATGGTCAGTGATCCGAGTGACAGTGACTCGACGATACTGGCCAGCGAACCGCCCCAAAGGAGGCTCAAGACTTCTGCGTCCACCCCCACCGGCTACCCTGCCGGCCAGGACGCGACGTCCGAGCACAGGATAGTGATACAGGTGAAGGGGCCCGACAAGGAGACCGCCACCGCTAGGAACACTAGTCCAAGGCAGAACAGGCGACGCGGGAATCCCAGTAATCCTGACCTTGTGCCCACCTCGACCGCGCAGAACACCGTGCAACGATCCGCCGCCGGCAATGTTACTCCCGAGTTCGTTGGATATCAGGTAGCGTTTCGATGTCTGAGTTAGAACCTGATGCTCCGTGATTTAAATTTAGAGGATATTGATTTGAGCGGTCGGTCTGACTAATGGGAAACTTGATTCTTTTCAACGTTTGCTTGGAAATCGAATGCCTGGATATGTAAGCGAATGATTTAGTGAATCAAGAGTGACTATCTTTTCAAACAAAATTGATTCGTCTCTCAAGGCCACCGACGAACTACCCCCTCTGTAACCTTTGGCTACGCCCATCGCGCCGTTTGACCACGCACGTTATGATTACCGACACGCCCACTGCACAATTTAGTTGCTTCTAACATGCGATTTGAACCATGTCCGACTTGCTTACCTGTTACCGTGAATCTTTTGAACCATGTCCATTTGTCTATTCAATTATCACTGCTACGTTGTACTATCGTGTTCTTTGCGACGTTTGTTAACGCCCACTGTATTCTTTAGTTACACCCATTGTACCTCTAATTTCAAATTCCTTTCTTTAGTTGGCTCATCGAATCGTTTACCGGGCTTGTTTTTTAATTAATATACGGCTACGTTTACTACGGTGTTCCAATTAAGCAGTCCTATGCCATATGGCCACGCCCGCCAAGAACCCAGCCACACCCATTCGCCGACCCGCCTTTCAGTGGGAGCAACAGCCTTGACCGACTGAATTTGTTCCGATCAAATCTCTCTAACTTCTCGGAGTAACGGGGAAGTAACGTTGCTGATTTGCCGGTACTCGTTTCAGGAGTTGAAAGAGAGCGAGGACGAGAAGGAGGCGCTGAACTGCGGCATCTTCGACGACAAACACGGCACGTCACCGCCTCAGTCCGCCGATGAGGAGAGCGACATCGAGAGTTTGCACAGCTTCCATTACAGTCCTAAGGCAGTGGACCTACCATCTGCTGTTCGGTTGGCCAAGAGGCTATACTCATTGGACGGTTTCAAAAAGTCTGACGTTTCTAGACATCTTAGCAAAAAGTATGCGACCCACCGAATTCGAAATTTTACTCGGGTGGTCCATGGTGAAGTCTGCTTTAACTTTGATCCTCATTCCCGGGTTCCAGCAACGACTTCAGTAAAGCGGTGGCCGAAGAATACTTGAGATACTTCAGCTTTGAACGGGACTCGCTGGACGTGGCTCTCAGAAAGTTCCTTGCCCAGTTCTCTTTGACGGGGGAGACCCAGGAAAGGGAAAGGGTTCTTGTACATTTCTCCAAGAGGTTTCTCGATTGTAACCCGGGCGCCTTCAATTCTCAGGGTAAAAATTTGACTTGACAGCCAGGCGACGCGTCTCATGGTAATCGGCATCCAGCGTAATCGTTTACTGGTCTTCTATTGTAGACGCTGTTCATACCTTAACCTGCGCCATAATGCTGCTCAACACGGATCTTCATGGACAGAACATCGGCAGGAAGATGTCGTGTAACGAATTTATAGAGAACCTCTCGGAACTGAATGACGGTGATAATTTCCCTAGAGAGGTGCTAAAGCAACTTTACAACGCCATCAAATCGTTCCCCTTAGAATGGGCCTTGTAAGTTGATTCAGAAGCGTTACCCTACATTTGTGTAGAGGGATTGGATAGATCATTGTATTTCTAACTCAGGGATGAAGAGGGAGACGAAGCAGCGAATCAGGCGATTCAGCAGGGTGATGGTCCAGCGATGCCTGGAACCGGGAATCCGTTTCTCGACGTGCCAAATGTTACGGGTGCTACGGAGTTCAAGAAGGGTTACGTTATGCGGAAATGTTGCTACGACTCCAATGGAAAGAAAAGTATTGATCCCAGCTTTATACTGTTATTACAGCACAGGGTCTCACAAATGTATTTATGTAAAAATGTTGTTCGTATTTCGTTGGATGTAAGAATTATGTAAAATAGAATGTAAAGAAACGATGAAGAAATGATAAAACATTAAAAGTTACCATGCAGGTTCTCCTTGAATTAGTCATTTTAAGCAGATTCGAATATGTTCGTGAGTTACTGTACACATATGATGAGTTAGTAGATACGAATAATTTGCTTAAGATCGCTAGTACGTTTGCTATTCCTATCTCTTTCTATTTTAACAATTGGAAAATAACTTGTGAATAGCTTGGATACTATCTCGAGTGAGTTTGAGCAAAATTCAATTTACTTAATTGACGTATTTATGATTTCTTTTAGCTCCGTTCGGAAAACGAGGTTGGAAAATGTATTATTGTACATTGAGAGAACTTGTATTATATTTGCACAAAGACGAGCATGGCTTCCGTAATGATAGTTTGCACAACGCGATACGTATACACCACGCGTTGGCCACAAAGGCGTCGGACTACACGAAAAAGCAACATGTCTTCAGGTTACAAACCGCGGATCAAGCGGAATATCTCTTCCAAACGAGGTGAGCTGCTATAAAATTGTTAATAAGACAATGATAATTAGACATTCACGAATTTATTATTCAAACAACGAATTTAGACATATGAATAAAAGATGAATTTTCTATGATTTATTTGACACATGTTAACGTTAAAAATTATACTAATTTTTTATTCAGGAAAACTAACGAATGACTGAAATTTTGTTAGTAAAAAAATATAAAAATATTCCCCTTGAGTTTCAAATGTAAAATACTTATGTTATAAGAAGTATTATCGACTTCAAAAATTTAAATGCTGTCCGTTTCTTTCGTTACTTAGTGTTTGATTAAAATCATTCTTACCTTCCATAACAATGGATCAATCATCACGGATATGTGTTAATTAAAATTGGGGTTGTTTCCAGTGATTCCAAAGAACTGCAATCGTGGATCGACACGATCAACTTCGTCTGCGCCAGTTTCTCCTGCCAGCCATTAGCAGGAGCTGTGGGTTCCCAACGAAAGTTTCAACGACCCCTGCTCCCCTGCAGTCACACGAAATTATCTCCTGTGAGTAGTTTCACGTGCTAAAAAACGTTAACGAATGTCGTTCACCTCGTCCACACAATGAATATAATCTGTCTCCGTTGTTTCTTTATTTACAAGCCTTCCTCTACTATCCCTGAAGCCAACTTCGTTCTCTAAGTTCTCATATCTTCAAAACGGAATACGACATTGACAAAATGAGATTAACCCTTTTGGGCACGAGATTAGAAGCATCAGTAAAGAATCAGTAGTATATGCGTGTAACCGCCATATCTCTTTCCGCGTGTTTACCCTTTCAAGTGTATAAAACTGACGGTATCTTGGATTTTTAATCGTGTTGTCAGAGGGAACAGTTACGGGACCATGAGGAAAGGGTTAGCAAATTAGAAGCGGAACTAGAGGAGCACAGGCGGCATCCACCTGAAAGAGGGGCGAAAGCGCTCACTGTACAAAACTATAAGGAAAAGGATTCCTATTTGCATCACGAGGTAATCAATGATGTAATTACTAACTCTATCGTTCGATGAGACAGAATTTGATTAGTATGTTATCTAAATTTAAATAGAAAAAATTGCATTAAATCATGAACTATCGTATATTATTTTTTTTCATGCTTACCTTATGTAATTTGATTGCTATATATTATTTAATAACGATTTTCTCAGTAGTTACAAAAAGTGCACATTTACATTAAATTCTAGGAAAAAGAGAAACTGAGAAAGCAAGATTCAAGTAAATTTGTAATAGTTGTATTGGATGTCACACTTAACTTTGCTGCTAATAATATAGAATATTTTGAAGTTTGAACAGTAACTTTAAACAAATAATATCCTATAACTTTTCCATTTAATACAAGTTCATAATTCTATGTCTTCTGAATTACAGTTGAAAAGGTACAAGACATACGCATACTTGTTACGGTCGAGGCTGGCATTTACAGAGGTGGAGCCATCATTGGTGGAGAGTTGTATCGGTGAAGTAGACGAAGGAAGTGGATCTCTGCTGAATTCTGATGTGGCTTTAGTACCGCCGCCGGTTCCCGATCGACCTGCCATAAATAGGTACAGTTACAGGGCTGCCATTTACAACCGTAATCTGCTAAACGATCAGGACTACGGCGGGGACATTGGTTGACGTGTGATGGGTGTCTTTTCAGCATGTGTGGTTTAGTCTGACCTGCGTATGCAGGCAGAAGCGACAGCTGAAATTTGGAAGACATATTAACGAAAACCTAATGATGTATTCGACACATCACCTGTTAAGTACTGTACCGTACCGTGTACTCACCATTCTCTTTTAATACATTTAATCATGATTTATCAGCGGTCATTACAACTGGTAGCAGTAGCATTCGTACTGCGCTATTAGCACAGCAGCGTTTTTTTGTAACCTTCCCACAAAACTATTCTTCGGTATCAATTTGATTTGACCTCCTTTATTTTTGTATTCGATTTATTCATCGTCGCTCAAGTATCATTGTTTTTTATAAGAATTCATTGTATAAAACATTAAACAGGAAGAAAGCTGCTGTCCTATGCGCATACTCGGAACCGGTTAACTAACTGGTGATTGGGTCAGGGTGTTCACGCCTAACTCAGTATAGTGTAAAATGATTCACTAATTATACCCAAAGTAGATTGTTAAAAATTTACCAAAGACTTGACAAGGCCCGACTCAGATTCGTGCCTTGACTGAAGATAAGACCAGTTAAGTATAGAACAATTCTAATATCCGAATAAAAAGATGTTCGAGCGCTGAAGAATAATCCAAAGGGCAGATAACAATGACTATTGTTCAATTAATCTCAATGTAAGACTACCTGTACAAAAGGGAAACACAAAAGCAGATGTGTGTTTTTGAAGAGAAAACTATAAGTACTGTTTTTCATGGTCGAATCACTCTTTCTTAAATGTAACATGAATCTACATTAATCTACTTTTTTGTGTGATAAGAAAATAGTTGTATAATGAACATTATTGTGTCGAAGGAAAAGAAATTACGAAATCATTGCATCACATAACGTATAACAAAAAAAAACAAACTGTGCGATACTTTGTTACTATACCAAACTGTGTCTGTCTTCATACAAAATATCTTATTCAGGCATACCTTCATGCTTCTGGTTTGTGCTTTAAATTCGCTGCTAACATTTTCTAACATATTCATTGTCAGACTAGTTCATGTTGGGATTGGTGGTTGTAACGTAACATCTGCTTCTCTTGCTACTTTAAGAAATTTGATGGACTGTTATTTGGCGTTTCCGTAACTACGGCTTCCCGACATGATTTGACAATGTCGCCCAAGAACTTAGACCATGTTGTCGGTAAAATGCATTTCCGGTAAACCGTTTTAGGGTATAGGCTGTCGACGCCAGGGTTAAGGTGTGACGAACAAGCGGACACGAAAAGTGATAGTTCTCAAAATTTATATGACGACGGACTTCGAAGTAAATTATGTTTATTGTTAAATATTTATTTAACGGTTATTGAGATAAGAGTGATGATTGAACTGAGAATCGTTGGAAAAGATGTTTATATTCTCTATGGTCAAATTATCTGAAAGTACGTTTGGTCGAATCGCGTTACATTATTGATAAGACCGAAGACATAAGTATTTCAGAAAGTCTTGTTGGAACGGCTCAGTGTGTTCTGATGTTTTGATTTTGTTATTAGTTTACAACGAATGATAATCGCGTTAGGAAATAAGAGTTCAGCTAAGTTTGCTGAAATTGAAAATGGATAAAAAGTATTTACGTGGATGTGTAATAGATTTAGGATGGCAACAAATTTTGGTTTTTTATCGTTAATAATTGTTACCTCTGTTTTTGGCCTGGTCGGTAGGTGTATATGAGCTTCCTAGAAGCCAAACTAATCAATTCGTTTTCTTAATTAATTGTTCAGTGTTTATTTGCAATCATATGTTTTATTTTATACGGTTCATATATTTTGCAATATTGAAATCATATTTTCAATAATTCATTAGATAACTTACATCTATTCCTACTTTTTAAAACAAATTGAAAGTAGCATTACCTTTAGCAGTATTGTATTTCCCTACCTTCTATTTCATAGAGTTAATTAGTCTGATTTTTAAGAGGCTCATATGTGGTTAAAAAAGAATGATACAAGAACATGATGACCCATTATTAGTGGACCACACTGCCTATTTGCTTTTTACTGATTACGTCCAAATGACTGAATTCTATCAATGGGAAGAGTGATCCATCCGAGGGTCGTGTCTCATATTCATTTCTTGTTAATTGCAGCAGTGTCATCTACTGTTGGGTAACATTGGATATTAGACTTTCATCGATTATGATAGTCTGTTTCGCCAATACATCATGTTACTTGTTTATACTTTTTATCGATCGCGCCATGCTAGCCCATCAATGGGTTACACAGGGACAAATTAAAGCATCGTCTATTGCCCACTGGTGGGTCGTGTCATCCTAAATATGTTATAGGCAATTATATGACACGGTAATAAACTGTGTATCAGCCATTTTACAAGTGTAAATGTACTATATATTTTTATATTTGGTGTATTTATCGCGAATAATTCTATTTGATCTGCGTCCTCGATTTCTATATGTTGCGGTTCGACGATGCCTGACAAAAATATTTAGATTTGCGATGATGGGAACCATTTTAGTCGTGTACGTTTCTCTGTGATCGCGCGCTGTCTTTATGTTCTGTAAATTGGTTGATACGTAAACAAGCAAAAAATGCGTCACTCGGTAGTTTAGTTAACGAAAAGTAAATTGCAAGTGAAAGATCGAATCTTTCGTTTCACGTAAAGAAAAGAAATTAATATCGCAGATAGAATTACGTAGGCCTCACCTTATTCTAATCACTGTTCTGACATTACGTTTAGATGCATAACAGTAGCAATTTATCGAAATTATTCTAGCCTTTCTGAAACGACTATACAGTACCGTATATATATATACATGTATGTATATACCGTGTACATATATACAAATATATGTATATGTATACGAATAATTATATTCTTGCATAAAAGTATTACGTAATAAGTCAAATGCTTTATCGAACGTTATGACTGTAAAAAAGTTTAGTATTTTTACTAATATGAAAACCGACATCTTTCATATTGTTCTTTATTGATTAACTGTACTTTGTTATTAATACTTACGTTCGATATACAAAACTGTACTGATATAGTTGAATTACCTAAAACACTTCCCAAAGCCTGCTGCTGAATACTTTTATTAAATGTTGCTTTCAATTATTTCAAAATTGAATTCACTGATGCAAAAGCATTTGTAAATATTACATAATTATTTTATGCCAAAATATTCTGAATCTAATTAAAAAAAAAGCGACACTGTATTCTTGGGAATCCAGTATTAGGATCCATTAATTTTTTTTCCTTTCAGTTTAAGAATGAATCAAAAGTTCCATTTTTGGTGATTATTCCATATTATAAATTGCAGACATCCTTTTAGAACAGACATTTAAGAGATTTGTTAACTAGTCGAGTATTAGCATTTCTAGATATGGTTCCTGTAAATTATATTGCTGCTCAGTATCTAAGAAACTATTAATTTAAATATAAGCTAGAAAATATATATTTCATTACTTTTGTATTTTAATTGTAGATAACTGCTTTGATTCTTGTTTACCACTTTTATTAATACCATCCTTTTGTATCGTTCTCGAGAAGTCGTTCATTACATCTAATCATAGTGTATACTAGACCCCTTGTACATAAAACTGTATTATATGTGGATAATATAACGATTATTATAAACTATATAATGCTAATGGCAATAAAAATAAACAGTCTCCAGATTACATAAATCCACAAGTTTCATATGCAACTCCCAGTGTTTCAGATATCAGTAGGTACTTACGTAAGATATATTGCATCTTCATTTTTTCCTTCATTGAAACTGCATGTAATGGACACCTGTGTAGTATGTAAATTAGAATTTAGTATAGCATGCACAGATGCTTAAGTTCTGTATACTGTTAAGTAATTGCATGTTAATTTTATAGTTGGTGACAGGCATTATAATAATATATTCTAACAATCTGTTAATAGTACATTTAATTTTATTCTTGAGAAACTTCTGATAGATTCTTATTCAACACAATTTTGTAGGCATGCATGATCTCCAAATATTCGTTCCAATGAATGTGTATTGAGTACTTACTCATTACACTGATATTTATTGCCAAGTTTTCAGCTGCAGACGAAGTTATGCAAATCAGCATGAACACTACACTGTCACACGTTAATCGCAACTATTCGTATACAGAACTTTATAAAATTCAAAGTTACATTATATACTAAAAAACAAAATGATATAAGATACATTATATTCAATTCTTTAGACGAGACTTCTTTTAGGCACAAACTAAGATATCTTACTGTTCAAAAGTTTAGAATAACTTACACGTATTCAATATAAAAGAAGACAAAATAATTGATGTAGCTACGATACTTTTGGTCTGGCATTTTTATTATGTCTTGTAATTTTTACTATGTACATTTATTGGATATTTCTGCATATTTTATTAATTTTTCCATTAAAAAATTCAGTCTTCATTAAATGAACAGTTCTAAACTTCCGAACAGAAATTTAAAAATGTATTACTAATTAAATTTATTCTGTATTAATAAGTTTGTCTAAATCTTACGTGCCTCTGAAGTATTAGAATGTGAAAGACTTTCAGGAACCAATGTGATTAACTCCAAATTGGGCAGATTTTCGTAAAAATTTAATAATCTACAAAATGAATAACAGTATTATAATTTGTTTATATACCATAGAAAATACTGTGACAGCGGAGTTACTGATATTGGACGCTGAAAAAGTAATTTGACACTCAAACGTGCATTTATGAATAAGTATAAAAAGAATAGCCCTTTTTCTATTTTCAAATATTTTATTAAATACTTCTATAATGATTGTATTACTTTATTCCATGCAACAGGATTGAACCAGTGGCATCGTGAACGAAGTAAGCAGGTGATCATCAAAACGGTTTCAACATGCTCCGAAAATAAAATGTTTAAGTTTTGCAATGAAAATTTCTCACAGATTTTCATTTCATAGGATATCATTATTTTGATGTGTTGTATTGGTAAGCATCTATTTTCGTTGATTAAAAGAAAAGGAAACCTTGTGTTGTATCAAAAGTATTGTTAAGTAAATCATGCTACCAGATGTGATATGATTTAATGTGAGAAACTCATTTGGAGCAGAATCACAATTAATTAGAATACCAGAGTATTTTATTTTTCTAGTATTTTTAAGGGTGAAGCACTTAACAGTTTTAATCTTCGCCGCTTTAACAAAATTACCAGAGAGAGATTATCAGTGAGACAAGTTTATTACAACTGAATTTTTCAAAGTCTGACATAATGTAAAATTGAACTTTGAACCGGTACTAACGTTACCTCAAAGTGAAGCCTACCCAACGAATAAATGAAATTTTTCTAGTTGATCTTTTTGCATTAGAGCAGCTCTGAAAGTGTTTCAAGATATGTAACGATAATCTACATGAAGAAAATCTCGACATTCATCGAAGGAATTTAACGTTATGTTAAGGAAATGCTGTAAATTGATTTCACACGAGTATACTATGCCTACGAAATTCAATAGACGTGTGAAATCGAGATGGTAAACTGAACTGCGTTAATTGTAATATTTAAATAAGCGAAAAAACCGTTTCTGAACACGTTAGGGCGGAGACACTCCGGCTGTCTTCGCTAGATATATTGTGTTTAGAAAGAAAATATACAATATACAATCAACATCAATGTATACGTTAGTCGCAGTACTGATCAAGTATAAATTCATGAAGCTGTTTTTTATAGTGAACATTTACAAAAACACGACACCGTTGTCCAAATATCATAGTATACAAAATTCGTTCTCTTTTTAAGTGTTGTATCTTGTCTCCGTACTTGCATTACGCTTAAGGTAATAATTTTATAACTGTACATATGTTTACTGTAATGTGTTAGATCGTCTTTACAATTATATCGTGCATAAATGCCAAAGAATCGCATTTAAAATACATTTTTATTACAATGTATTTTTTACTCGCATTTACGTTCGTATATCCGCCGATTACATTACTCGCTTCTCATATTTTGTAAGGCATTGCTCTCTTTTCGCGCGCGCGTTTACACAGTTTATAACAAAGTATGTAAAGCTTTTTTAACAGATTTCTCTTCTATCTTTTATTTTTTCTCTCCTCTCCTCCTCTGAATTGCACAATTGATCTTCGCAAATTATCCGTTGTATTTGTTCTGTATAAATTAAATGATCGTGATGCGTCCCTGTAGCAGAATACTCAGTGTACATATTGTTTCAACTTCTTGTACTTCTCTTATTCTAACCGGAACTCGATGAATGACTGTGTACTGTCTGTACATGCGATATATTCCTTTGTAAATATGATTTTACGATTACGAAAATAAAATTGAGAACATAAACTCCTGCTATTTTTTGTTCCAACTCCCTACACAAAAATTGAATTATATCTCTACTACAGTTTCATAAACTTTATATTGTATCGGTTATAGTATTACAATTACATTTTAATAGTAAGTATATTGATTTCTATTGTTCGTAAAGTTAAAAAAAGTCTGAAATTTCATAGAGCTATGTACCTGTGTTTTTGTGTTTTAGACATAAACGTTATGAGAAGGGATCGTTCATTGGAAGAAAATGTTGCACTGGTCATTGCGTTATTAAAACATACTCTAGAAAATAAGAAAATTTGTTTTATAATGTGAATATAGTTTATTTATACTATATATGTCAATCTTATTACCTACTAAATGATTATCATATCATATTATATGAAAAAGGTATTCACAAAAACGAAGGTTATCAGTAGATTTTGTACGGATTTATTATCATATAATGAAATAGTTATAATTGTATATAATTCTAAATTAGATACTGTTACTTTACATAATTCATCTGGTGATTCAAAATAACATGGATCTCTACTTATGTACAGATACAGTGCAATGTATATGCAATAATAATTAATAAACGATTTATATTACAATATCGGTCAACTAAACGTTGACTCTACTCAACATACAAAGATACAAACTTCCTGTATACATACACACGACTCATAAAATTTGTTTCGCAATTATTCTGTGTCGTGTCCTCATGTGTATCCGTAATATACAAGCGATCAATGTTTCTATGTTTTGTAAAGTAAAACTAATATTGTACAACTTTGGAGGAATGTTGTGATGGCATAGCACCAACTTCACTATGAATCAATTAGTCAAACTGCAATGGCACTTTACAAATTAAATAATGTGTCTATCATATATACATATATATATATATATACTTATTTATACATATATATATATATTTATATATTTATATATTTTTTTCTTCATGTAAAACCTACCCAATAACGTAGTAACAATAACAACGGTGGATCGAGCTCTTTAGTTCATCCACTTGCGGCAGTTAGGCGCGCCACATGCGCATGCTATCTTGTGCTGGTCATCTTCAATGTCGAATTTATAGTCATATGCCAGCTGCAAAAGGTAATAATTCTTTCTAGAAATGAACTTTAATAAGAAATAAAATTATATATATGTGACTTTTATGTACCTCCTCGCCACGTGAGATTCTTCGCTTTGCAAAGATTATGATTCTAAGATCACGTTCGACCTCAACGATTTCAGCGACACAATTCGGGTTACAAGAGTGATTGATGTACCTCGCGAGGCCTCCACACAATGTTGCATCCACCACTCTTTCCTCGTCTAGGCGAAACATATAAATACCACGGTTCTGTAACAAACAATGTTAGTGTTATATTTCTGTTCTGTAACAAACAGTTTTAGTATTATATTTTATTAATTTTCCTAATTCTATTATCGTGGATAGTTATATAATAATTATAAAATGGCTGTTCGAATGTTACAGGAATAATGTTCAAAAAGCTCCTTACTTTTGAAATACTATAATCTTTATTATAATTTAAAAAAGTAAATAAAAGAGCTATGATAATTAATGAACCGCTTCTTGAAACTGCAAATATACAGTGATTTCTCGATAACTAGTCTAAAGGATTTTTAAATGCTATAAACTTCAAGTAAATTTTGTAATCTTACAATTTAGAATTATTTTATGGAATACACAACATACCCTTGCTTCATATTGCTTCTCCCTAGTCTCAGCCAACTCAGTACGGATGATCTCCCCAATATATTCGATGACCATAGTGTGTTTTTCCAAGTCGCGTGCAGCATATAGCCCCAAGCCCTGGATTTTGGAGCGCGCGAGGTAGACGTTATTGCGCCATTCTTGTTTCATTTTCTTGTACTGTGAGCTTTTGGAATGAACGAATTGTTTTGAATAGGGGCAAGCCACTTCACCCGCGACGGTTGCTGTGGGAACGAACGTGGTCCGGGCCGAAGATCCTGTGCGCTGTGTGTGCGGCCTCTTCCAAGGAAGCTGATTCCGTAGACGAGCCTCGGTCCTCGCGCTGCCAGTGGGATTAATCGCTAACGGTAATTCTAACAGGGGGTTCCGACCATATTTAAATCTGTAATCGGTTAAAGTTTCGATGCCTGGAAGACTTTCGAGAACACGAACGACCGCTGGCTCGGTCAACCCAAACAAATCTTCGCCGGAGACGTAACGCGGGAATAGCTGGACACTGTGCGTCGATCTTCGTAGCTCGGCGAGTGGCTCAAGAATTCGGCTCCAGACAGCGCGAGGCGTGGCATCTCGTAACTCGACGTCTTCTTGGAGCGGTTCTTGTACCAGTACTCGAAATTCTGGCCGGCCGGAGACATCGTGGATGGAACACACGTACCGACACCTTTTGTTTGGTCTCCTCATGCTCCAATAGAATCGGACGATCTTGTATCCAACAGGGTATATGTAGTTCGGTGTATGAAAGTTGGCGAGTTGATGCGGAAGTAGTTGACCAACGCTCAAGAATATTAGGCTCCCGACTCTCAAAAGATGATTGTGTTCCGAATGATGCATCACAGCTGCGACTTGTCTGTTTTCGTCACGATTAACATACACCCTTCTGTACACGGACAGTGTCGTCAATTCATTGTCTTTCTCGTTCTTTTGCACATGTTGAGAACAGTAGGTACTCTGAAATATCAATCAGTTTAATTCATAGTTGCATGTCAGAACAAAAGGAATCCTTTGTTATGTGTGTTTTCATGATGTCAAATTAAATCCACTGTAATGAAATATTGGTATGATGTTCCTTACCTTATTTTTATAAAAAACACAGCCATCTTTGACAGCGCAGCCAAGGTGGTAAACGTTGGTACAGCGCATTTTAAAGCATTTTACTGTAGCTCCAGGTTTCTCGCAAACAATACAATTTAATACAAGACTATGTTGCAAAGCGGTATCGAGATTCATCAAGGCACCATTTACAGTTTCATACACATCTTCCGACCATAGGGCGCAGTTTAAATGTACCCATTTGTCGACGTCGAAATTAAGTAGTCTAGCAGGGCCGTCAGCTGTACCATCACCTTGACTGTGGCAAAACATACATCGTCGGCTATCTTCTGCCTTGGCAGGTATCACTGTCACCCCCATACGGAAAAGCATCTACGGAACGAACAAATGATTATTTAAATTATATTGTTAATTAAAGTTTAATGTTCATTTTTATAAATATAATCGAAATTAATACAATGAATGAACAAATAAACTATCTATCCAAAGAACATACCTCTGTGATTTCTTTGTCGGTGGGTTTCTTATACTTCGTAGACGGTTGCATCGAGCCAACCGACCAAGTCTTGTATCGTGAGCCCCTCCATACTTTTGCGGGAGGTTGTGTTGTATCAGTCGATTCGTTTGAATGTTCCTCCACAGCCGGGTGTTTCTTTGGCCGTTTTTCCTCCATTGTTTCCTCCTTCATCTCGGGAATATCTTGATCTTCTTTTTCGGTCTTCACCTTTACTTCAGATTCTTTCTCCAGCTGATCAACATCCATACTTTCGACAGGATCGACAGATTGTTTAACCACAAATTTCTTTCCCTTCTTGAAATCGTCGTCCAACACCTTATTTTCTATTTTGTGACACAGATGATCGACTATGGTTGCAGCCTAAAGGAACAGATCATGTTTAATGTAATTAGTAAACTGTAAATGTACATAATAAAATTTACTGAATCTTAACACAGGCGTTTGTGACCACATTTACAATACTTGTAAATATCATTTATCGTATTATTATATGTTTTTATCATGTTTTATTATGAATTCTGTTAAATACTACCTTATATTGTGTATTCGACGGCGTTGTGTGCATAAGGGCGAATTGCATGTAACAAGCCATCGAGCAGAAACATAACTCGTCACCAGGCTCCGCTTCCTCCTTACTTAAGAATGGTAAGTCTGATACTTTCTTTCTTATTAAACTATTTAACATCACAACCTCGCAATGGCGACAGAATTTCGCAGCGCCATTCAAAATACTTTGTATATCAATTGGAGCTGTAAAGACAATGAATATTAGAGTATTGTTTACGTCTATGAAGATGGAATTATTACTTCTTTTGGGACAGATACAAACCTCCCTCTTTACCATCTTTTCCCTTCGTTCTATAAAGACCTAATTTCTGACTAGGGGGAGTAGTGGTACGTTCTACTATCTGGTAACCAGTGGGAGGAGCTATGTTTAAAATATTAGCCAAGTCCTTAAGTACTCCCATTATGTCATCTGCGGCTTGGCTGTTCAAGGTCAATGTAACTGTTACGTTTCCATCTCTCAGAGGTATTGGGGGCGATTTCCCAAGTCTATAAAATAAAACGTCATATAATATTACAAAATAAATATTAATGAATTTAAATTGTATTTGTAAAGGTGATAAAGCGTAACGTACCTTGGTATTCCGAGATTTTCTTTGTCTTGTTTAGCCATATCCTTTGCATAAGCTGGTTTGAGCCTGATCGGTATCGGGGATATTAAAGGTATTACTGGTGACACACGTTTCAACCAATCAGACTCTTCGTCCGACTCTTCTTCAATCAGTCTCAATCCAGGGAACCGGTGTATGAATTCCGGAATAACGCATTCGGGTGAAGATGAACTGACAATGGTATCAGGGGAATCGACATCGCGATTTACTGACAAAGAGTTCTCTTTCTTTTCATCAGCTGAAAGTTGAATATTTATGGTTACTAATTATCCTTTTAATTGCAACGAGTATATCAGATACGGATGCTTACAGTCGTCTAACTTAAGAGGCGGGAACTCTTGATCATAAAATCCTCGCTGAGTAGAAGCAGGTTGTTGTGGTGGTAACGGTTCTAATTCACCAAATGGCTGCGTATTATAATGATCAGATACACCCGGCAACGTAGCAGATCCATAGGAACCCGTTAAGTCTCCTGTCCTAGTACTATAATCCTTCTGACTTCCGATTTTCGTCAAGTCTCCCGAACCAAAGATAGGACACACGCCGTAATTTTTGCCTAGAAGGGGTTCTAATACTGCCATTGGCTGAAGTTGTCGCAATTGTGTCATTAAATTGTCAATGAACGTGTCATAATCCTCGTCTAAGCGGGACACTTTTCTAGCACGCTTCTTCTGAGGTGCTGCCGCCGCGTCTTTTCCTTGGCTTTGTTTCCGTTTCTGTTGATACTGTCGCCTTTTCAACTTCTTGAGATCTGAAACGAAAAATAAATTCGTTATCTCTTTTGCTATACACATGAATGATGTTCGACACTTTGAGTAGCCAATCAACCTCAGAAAAATGTTTGCGGACTTTGAATTTATTTCATGCAATACTTTGTTTGAAATGTTAATGTCTACTTTGAGATCAAAGAGCTAACACAACACTCGAGGCATGAAACGTATACCACGTACCAGTTTTGTCATCAATCGGTCCATCGATAAGCTCCTCTTTGGCAGTAAGAAAGTCTTTGGTATCGGTTAATTGGGTAGGTGTACCACTAGGTAGAACTTCATCCAGAACTTCCTTTTTGACTTCCACTAAAGGCACTGTGTGTTGTGCATTTGCACCCTGTGACGCCTGGGCTTGGTGACCCACAGTATGAGACACCGTATGAGGCACTGATGGCGGTATTGTATTCACGTGTGGGGGTGGTTGTTGTGTCGAAACAATGGGCGGTTTTGGGGTGACCGGTATTTGGGGCTGAGGTTGCGTCTGCGGCTGGGTAGTTGTCGTGACGGTGGTTAATGCTTGTGTCACTTGAACAGCACTCGATACTTGTTGCGTTGTAGACTGTAAATTCTTACAAGCTACCGTTGTGATCACGGGCTTTGATTGTGGAACGACTCGCGAGACAGCCATAGAACTAGCTACGCATTGTTGCGGGACTGGTACAGTGTTGTTAATGACAGAGTCACTGGGAGGTTTCGCTTGTGGTTGAGTACTGACACATTCTTGCTTCACAGGAGTCGTGTCGGTGGCTTTCGCTGTGAGTGGTGGTACCTGCTTGGTCACAGTGGTCGTTGATTGTTGATTCCCTTGAGT